CATTTGTTTAACCTCAAAAGTACAGTTTTTAAATGAAATGTTGCTGAAACAGCAAGTTTCTCAGTAGATCTCAAAAAATGCAGCCTAGGTGGAGTAGTCGAACACAGATCCACTAATCCTTCAACAAAGAGCATCTTTCGAAAACAAGCTAATAAAATAAAATTTAAAAATCTGTATTGATCGATACAAGTGTGTATTGAACCCAAAGCATTGTACTGAATGGTTCGATACGGGTACATGTATTGTTGTACCCCTAATAACAACTGATTGATGTTTGGAGTCAACTCAGTGATTGTTGGCTGTCACAACTAATCGACATTAGCTAACACAAAAATGGCTATAATGTGGCTGATTCTACAGACAATGAGTTAAAATATATCACGGTAGTGGTTGAGAGTCATCCCTTACACATAGTATTTTGAGAATACAGAATAAGCAACATCTTTGTTTAAAACGTTGGCATGCATCTCAAATGTTCAGACATTTATTTTACCAACAAATTGTAAAACTTGAATAAGATAAGACTCAGTGTTCCTGTAAATCCTGTTTTGTTTCAAATAAACTACCTGCAGTTGGTGTTTCTACTGTTGGCATTGCTTCGCCATTTGTGATATCCATGAAGAAGTCAGCAGGGTTGTTGAAAGCTTCGATCTGATATCCTGTCCAAAAACAAACACACATTCACCTTCAACGTACTAATAAGAGCTTTGTGTAAAAGAAAGAGTAAGAATAATCTGGATCTAGACATATTTAACTGAGCTAAAGCATGAGATATAATGGAATGATACAAATTATTATCAGAAAAAATAAGCACCACTTTTCCATCCATCATGTCCAATTGTGTTTAAGTTGTTCTTTCACGGGACACAAAGTTCATACCAAGGCCTGTGAAGTAGTCCAGAGCACGCTCTGCTGCTCCTGCATACACTATCTCTCCCTTGTGCATCAGAGTCAGGTGGTCAAACTGTCTGAAGATGGAGTAGCGTGGTTGGTGAATGGAGAAGATCACCGTCTTTCCTCTTCTGGACAGCCTGGACACAGGTTTGAATGTTTCCATTAGGTTACATTTAAAAACACTGGTCTTGCAGATCACTTTTTACCCATGAGCCTCAGCTGGATTAACTGTATGATGTGCTCAAGGGTCTCATTTGTATTTTAATTAAGTAAAGTATGTAAGTAAACTTTATTTCTCTAGCACCTTTCACAGACACAAACATCACAAAGTACTTAACAGAGAGAAAAAAAAACTAAAAACAATAAAAAAGATCACAGATATAAAAAC